AAAATAGTTATCATGGGATGAAAAACTATGCTTAGTTCAATATAATTATTGTGGATTTCATAAGGATTATCATTGTTTTCTTTTAATATAATACATTTTATTTCACTTACCCCCCTACATTTTATTTCACTTACCAGCCATATTTTGCCGTCTTGTTTGCATTTAATCGCCGAGTCTCGCAAAAATCATCCAGTTGTTGTACTTTTACATAATCATAAAGGGCTAAAGAATATTTCAACCAAGTTTCATCAAGTTGCGAGACAGTGCAGTGTGTCTTATCGTCGATATTGTGTTCTTCGATATTTCGTCAAATTGCCGCCATTTTAATGGCTCGCCGCTTTTCTGTCCGATAAATGCCACTACTTCGTTTTCATATGTATTTAGATTACAGTATCTAAAAGTACTTCATTGTAGAATAGTTCCAATCGAAAAATTGACAACATTTGTTTCATTTGGAAGGAATAACCCTCCCGTATACCATTTAAGTTCAAAATAAAAAACAAATCATTTGAAAGTCAAGCGCAATCTTCGCGAAAAGTTCTCGTCGACACATGACAGGGGGTGAATATTTTCACGAAACGTTTGTTCGCCACCACAGAAACATAACTAAATATATTGTATTTATTGTATTTTTATGATTTATGACAAAACTACGCAAACATTTATGTTTTTATCATAAATCATAAAAATACAATAAATACAATATATTTAGTTATGTTTCTGTGGTGGCGAACAAACGTTTCGTGAAAATATTCACCCCCCTGCCATGTGTCCACGAGAAGTTTTCGCGAAGATTGTGCGTGACTTTCAAATGATTTGTTGTACACCAACACAGCAAATATCATGATTTCTTTCTTATTTTGAACCTAAATGGTATACGGGAGGGTTTTTCCTTGCAAATGGGACAAATTGTCAATTTTTCGATTGGGACTATTCTACAATGAAGTACTCTTGGATACTGTAATCTAAATGCATATGAAAACGAAGAAGTGGCATTTAATTTATTGGACAGAGAAGCGGCGAGCCATTAAAATGGCGGCAATTTGACGAAATATTCGTAGGACACAATATCGAGGATAAAATACACTGCACTGTCTCACACTTGATGAAACTTGGTTGAAATATTCTTTAGCCCTTTATGATTATGTAAAAGTACAACAACTGAATGATATTTGCGAGACTTGGCGATAAAAAGCAAACAAGACGGCAAAATATGGCTGAAATCGTGTTTTCGTGGCGGATAAGTGAAATAAAATGTATTATATTAAAAGAAAACAATGATAATCCTTATGAAATCCACAATAATTATATTGAACTAGGCATAGTTTTTCATCCCATACTAATTTTTTTTAGGAAATAAGAAAATTTAATTTCTGCCAGGCATATTAGTTATTTTGGGAATAATCAGCAATTTACCTGGGGTCGTGCATAGTCATTCTCTGGTAAAATATTATACTTAGACAAATTTTTCCTAACAATGACCACCCCTAAAAGCAACCCTTCTAAACACTATAAGCACTTCAGAAAGCCTATCGCTTTTCCTACTTTTCGGAAGTTAGAGCTATGCCGACACTGCCGTTTCAGGGCGGGGTCAATTTCAGGACTTTCGCCCCGGATTCAGGTTTTCGCACATATGCCATGTTGACCGCCATGGTCATTTTACCCTAAAACAGTTGAGATTACCTGTCCTAAATGAATCGCATAGAAACTCATATACAGGTCCTAGACTAATTCAGCAAATAACTAAATGCCTTTCTAGACCACAATGTTATAATTGTTAATAACCAATCAGGTTTTCGTCGTTATCCTTCCACAGAAGCCTCACTGCTTCAATCTACAGAAGTGTGGCTAAAGTCAATGGATCAAGGTTTAATTAATAGGGTTATATTCTTAGACCTTAAAAAGGCGTTCGATACAATTGACTACCACATCCTATTAACAAAACTTGAAGCTTATGGAGTGCGTGGTGCCGCATGGTTTCAGTCGTATTTGGATCAAAGAAAGCAAATCTGCATTCTAAATAATTGTAGATCAAATATTCAAACAATTCATTGTGGGGGGCCCCAAGGATCTAACCTTGGTCCTCTATTATTCCTAATTTATATTAACGATCTCCCGAAATGCCTTAAATCAGCCCATGCAAATTTATTTGCATTTAATAAATATTCACAAATGGCTATAAGCAAATAAATTAACAATAAATGTTAAAAAAACTAAATATATGATTATTGGATCTCGACAGCGATTTCATGGAAAACTTAAGTCACATGCCAAATATCACAATTAAACGGACGCCAAATTACCCTGCTTGGGTTCCAGAGCCTGCTGTGATAGAAGTGAGGACACGACGAGGAGGCTCTGGTCATGCACACGAGCATCCAGCCTCATGCACTTTGGTGGCGAGTTCAATATTTTAACTCTGTTTATGATTGGTCTAAATTTATGTGAGTCTTTAAACTTAACTGGAGTAAACAGAATGAATAACAAAATAAAAATATCTCAAGTAATATTAATCTATTAAGAAATGCCAAAGATTTCGTAGACTTAGACACACTTAAAATAATGTATAGTGCATTAATTAGTGATGCCTCATTTCATCTATTGTTCAACTGTGTGGCAAAATAATAATCAAGCACACCTAGACCAACTTTACAAGTTCCAAAAACGAGCAGCTAGGATTATAACAAATTCAAATTAGAGTATAAGTTCCTCCCTAATATTCTAAAACCTTGGTTGGAAACCTATTGAATTAATCCTAAAAAAGCGAGATCTTTTCATAACATTTAAAGCGCTTAAAGGTATGCTTCAAAACTAGCCTATATATCACAATTATTTCAGACTTGTGGAAATAGCGACTACAATCTGGGCGGCAATAACTTAAAATTGTCCTAAAGGTTTCCTATAGAGGAGCAGCTGTTCGCCGGGAATAACATCCCAATAAATAGTCTCAATATTGATATATGATGTGATATGACATTTTTATTTTCACACGAAGTCCACTCACAATTACAAATATATGCTCTTCCATGCATGGAGACGTGCATTTAACTAATATAAAATATATAAATATAGGAAAGAACTAAACTACTTATAAAAATATGTACATGTAATATATGAATTTACGAGACGAGAGACATAAACTCACTCAGAGACTAAATATTTGGGCGGACATGTTGTTCCACAAAATTGCACCTCTCTAACTAAAACTTTTCTTACTTTTCTCACATTAGAAGACGGACAAGTCGTCTAGACGAACAAATCGTCTCAAAATCGTCTTTTAGTCGGACAAATCATCAGATGTGAAAACGTGTCGTACAAAATGTTAGACGAACAAGTGTCTGAATTTGTTCGACTACTTGTCCGTCTGTGAAGACGATTTTTGAGAGACGATTTGTTCGTCTAGACGACTTGTCCGTCTCTAATGTGAATAGGGCTACTGAAGACGTGCGGATGAATTTATTGGTTAAATAACTAGCAACCATATTATTGACCGGTTTATACATTAATTTCTTGAACTGTAGGGCACGCCTATCTTCTAGATTAGTCCAGTTCAATGATCTTAAAATTTCAGATGAGCGAGTGTAATAATCAGAACCAGTAATGATTCGTGTAGCTCTGTTTGTATTCGTTGAAGCTTCTGTCCTAGACCCTTAGCCAGATTATCCCAAATAACACTACAATAGTCAAAATGTGGCTGAATTAAAGAATTATAGAATGATTAACACAAGGGCCAAAAGTTGGGGTAACGGTTTTAGTCTCCTCAAGACTCCGATCACCTTGGAGACTTTACAAATAATCGCAGAGACATGAGACTCCCACGTTAAACCCTCGTCCAATTCTAAGCCTAAACATTTATATGATTTCACTCTTTTGATTTCATTTCCTGAGATAGAAATATCAAGTTGTTCAGGAATATTACTTAACCTTTGTCGAGAAGCACCAAACATATATTTTGTTTTCATTACATTAAGGCTAAGCTTATTCATATTGAGCCAATTTTGTAGAATTTTTAAATCATCGTTTAAAATAGAAATAATTTTATTGAGGTCATCATCAGCATAGAGTATGTTAAATTGGTATCTTCGGCGAATAAACGCCCATTTGTTACCAACTGACATTTAGGGAGGTCATTGATATGGAGTAAGAACAGTAGCGGGCCCAGAATAGGATCCCTGTGGAACTCCACATGTTATCTTACAGCTACCCGACGATACATTATTGATAACAGTGATTTGTATGTCCAGATAGGTAGTTTAATTCTATTGTTTGGTTGCTCAATCCATAACGGTTTAATTTACCTAGTAGAATCTCATGGTCGATGGTATCAAAGGCCTTCTTTAAATCAACAAATAGTATGGCATTAATCAGGCCGTTATCCATATTCATATACCATTGATCCGTGGCGTCAAGCATCGCTGTTAATGTAGAGTGAAGGCGTCTAAAACCAGACTGCTCTTTAGATAGAATATCGTTGTTGTTGAGAAAATTGTAGGTTTGATCGAACACGACTTTCTCAAAAACTTTTGAAATTACTGGAAGAACTGATATTGGCCTATAGTTGTTGAGATCAAGTTTTGAGTCATTTTTATGAATTGCAGAAAATCTGGCACTTTTCCACTCCTTTACAAATCACCAAATTAATAGAAACAATAATAATATAATAGATATAGTTATTTCAATTCTTTACAATAATTTACAATACTCTCCTAAAAAATGTCTGTTTAGTAACCTAAGTGTTTCATTATTTATTTGTAAATACATTAATTAATTAAGTAATTGTTTTTTAGTAATGCAATTGCCCTTTGAAATCACTCTTTGTGAAAGGTTACTGTGTTTTAAATAAGGTTAATATTAATAAAGACTATAAATATGATTGGTAAGACAAAACATAAACACCAGGGTTTCATGTTTTTCATTGGTGGGAATTTTAAACCTTACTATGTACTGGATGACAGAATATAACACCTACTAGCGAGTAGCGAAGATCTTACGAATTATTAATGCCATGGAAAACTTTCCATAATACCTCAGGAAATCTTCATGTGGTGGTAGAATTCTGTCCTGGTGGAAACCTACGAAATGTATTGCTCAAGAGTAGAGTCGGCTATCCTTCACCTGAAAACTCATCGAATTATATCAACATGACATCAACTTTAAATCATCGTCAATTGTTAAAAATTGCTGTGGATATTTCAAACGGAATGGTTCATCTTTCTTCTCAGAAGGTATTTAGTTGTTTTACTAATGTGTATATGAAATCATCACAAATTTTCTAATCAATTAAAATAATTAAATAAATAAATTAAATAAATTATTCCCAATTAAATAAATTATTTCCTATTAAATAGCCCGCGTGCAGGCCCAAGGGAACTGATAGTGGGCCTGCAAGCAAGGCCCGGTATTTTGTAAAACGCCCCTTTTCATAACACGCCCCATTCGCGCGTCAATTGTCAAAAAAGAACCAATGACAGCAACCCAAATATTAACAAACAAACTCGCATTAAAATGTTGCGGGGTTTTCTCTGCTTTAATATTCAAAATAGAAACAATGTGTAAATGCCTGTGTTAAAACTCTAAAGAAACAAGCAACGCAGCCAGTAATTGCCAAATTTACAAGTGCTCATTTTCAACTAAAATCGGAACAGGCAAATTAAGACGGATTTCAACAGAAAACCAGTCTCAAACTTCAAATCGTGAGGGAAGTCGTGCGACCACATCGGCATTTATAATGTGTTCTTTGCTGTCGCCATTGTTATAAATAAATTGTCTCACTTATCAGATCGTGTGTGCAATTCTTGTTGGCGGCGGAAAGTACGAAATTTATTTCAGTTATTTCATTTGGTGAGAACTCTACAAAAGAAGAGAGCGTTCAGAGTCCAGATAATACCGTCTTCTGTTTTGCTCTCTCAGCGAAGCCTTGTAAATCGCAAAGTATTTTGAATAGGCTTACATGCAACTGCATCTCAACATCAACCAAAAGATAATTTTCTTGAGGAACATATAACGTATCAAGTCTGTTTGAAATTAATGAAACTCAAGTAAAGGTTACTATAGTTCACCCCAGTCGTATTAAATGTTGCTATTCCAACACTTCACGACAAGCAATCCTCATTGGCATAACGGCAAAAACATCTCTTTCTTCAAGTAAACAATAAATAGTCTGTTCTTTTTCCATTTGTAATCGAAAAAAGTGATCAATTTTCGAATTTTAAGCTTATCGAGAGCCTTTGTCTATGCTTTTGTGATGAATCACTGACCTAATTATAGAATCCAACAGCAAACAGCCAATCAGAATGCCGCGTTCGTGGGCGAACGCGGAAAGTACAAAATACCGGGCCTTGCTTGCAGGCTCACTATCAGTTCCCTTGGGCCTGCACGCGGGCTATATAAATTATTTGATAATTATCATTGGATGGGAAAACCTTTTTCTAAACAATCAGTATTGCGAAGTCGGAGAACTGGTAAAATACACACTCTTAAAACACCCTGGTTAAGAATTTCGTGGTTAATATGCGTATATACTCCAAAGCAGCTGGACCCTGCTAATATGGTAACATGAAGTGATTCTTAACGAATGCTATTGTATTATCAGTTTATCCATCGTGATTTGGCCGCTAGAAATATTCTCATTGGAGAAGATAATATGGCAAAGGTGTCTGATTTTGGTTTGGCAAGAAATATTAGTGGAGCTGAAGAATACATACGAAATAATCAGGTATAAAATATTTAATTAACTAGATCTTCTAGAATGAATACTGGCATTTTTGTACATAGCAGAAGCGAAATAAGCAATTGAATTTAATTTGATTCACAAGACTCCCATAGTGCACAATGTACAGTTTTCAATGCGCCGGTTTATACCTTCAATATACAACCAGTCACAATGCAACTTTTTATTCATTAAAACTCTATACTGTTGTGTAAAAATTGAATTTTTGGGGGATTTCATTCCAATACCTAATATACAGGGTGTTCAATTTATCTGATATATACCTTGCCGTGATATTATGAATTTAAAGATTGAAAGTTATATAACATAACGTGAATAAAGATAAAGAGCAGAGCTCAGCAAATAACTTTAAAACCAAACATAATAAAAGTAAAAATTTATTAGCTAACGTTTCGTTGTTTACCGCAATACAACATCTTCAGAGCAATCTAAATGAATTTACAGGGTATGGTATATACAGAATATTTACAAAATAATGGTTTAATATTACAAAAACGGTTACATAGTTCGAAAGAACAAATGAATGGAAAGAAAGGAAAACAACTTATCAGTAACTAGTTTTAAAATTAGTAAAGATTAATGCTAAGTGCATGGTTTGTATATAGTTAAGGTTAATATGACATAACTAAAATAGGGGTAGATCTAATATTAGTATTAAAGACAAGGTTGAGTTGAGAAATTAATAGGCTTTCACGGATAAGAAGATCCCACTCAGAAGTGCCTGATGATAGGATTTTGAGATCAGAAGCGAAGATTGGGTGTTTGCGCATGTGTTTGTGAGCGAGTATACTAGACATGGTCATTACCAGAAATATGGGACAAGATGGCGACGGACATGCGCACTTTGACCAAATATGGCGGCCAAATATTACTATAAACTATATGGGGGTTGATCAAAATGTCAAATTTTAATACACTTTGTTTAAATATTTCATGGTTGCCGAGTTCGATTATAGTAGCGATACGAACAAGAATTGCACGCGTCTAGCTGGTTCCTGAGAATGTTGTATTTTTACTCGGAATTCGATGAATTTCATAGTGTAATTCATAGTAAATTTGTGACACAAGAGGTAAATATCCGACGAATAGACTAACATCCATTCGGGCGATGCAAAGTGCCGAGTTCGCGATATATTTGATGATGTCCAAACTGTTAATTTAGCTAAATAAATCGCTTTATTTTCCAGGGAAACTGGTTCCCGAAACGTTTAAAAGTTCGCCTTTTACGGTTCTTGTATGTCGCCATTAGGCCATCTTAATATCCAAAAACGACAAGTTTTAATACAAATTTGAGCTGTTTCGAGCAGCCATGTTTCTTGTTTATTTTGAAAGACTAGATCCAGGCTCACTCACGTAAAAACACAGGGATATTTTTGGATTTTTTAGGATATTTGCGATATTTTAGTCATGATAAAAATTTGCGCGGTTAAAGGTCAAAATACCGGAAGTGATCAGCAAAAACTGCAAAATATAGTTTAAAATCACAGTTTTTGGTTGAATAATACTTGAATTGGAGATTCAAAGTAAAATGCGAAGTCGTTTTACTTATGTTAGGCAATGTTAGGCATATAAAACTGACTTAGCCGCTGACAACTAAAGCGGGAGCAAAATGTCCCATATTTCTGGTAATGTTGAGATAGAGCGTTCTTTTCCAGTCAAAAGCGAGATTTCCATATGCTCTGAGACACGTGTGTGAATGCGCCGGCGTGTTCGGCTACCAATCAATGCGCTAATAGCATTGACACGTGAACTGATACACAACATGTGATCTCAGGGCAATGGGAATCCTGTCTTTAAATGGAAAGAAACTAGGAAGGCGACAAGAGGGACGGAAAACAACACGTATGGAAATATTTGATTGAGCAGAAGCAAGAACTTTACTAATTTGTGAACGGATATGTAGACCATGTTGTCCAGTGAAAGGAAGGCAAAGGTAAACAATTTTCTTGGAACATGTATCGACCTTGTCTTTGGTGTTATAAATCCTGTCAAGAAATGTCTTAATGCAACTATCTATAAGTGCTTTATAGGATAACCATTGGAAAAAAATGTTTTCTTAAAATTTTCCATTTCAAAACTGGAAAGGTATCTAAGAAGAACAAATATTGAAATATCGAGACACAAGAGAGAAAGGAAGACCTTTTTTCTACATCATTGAAATAAAGCTATCAAAGTTTGTGAATAAGCCGGTTGAAGTGCATTTGTGATGGACAGAGGTCGTGAATGCACTTCAACCGGCTTATTTACAAACTTTGATGTACCAAAAAGGTCTCCTTCTCTCTTATATCTCGATATTTCAATATTTGTTCTTCTTACATATCTTTCCAGTCTGAAATGGAAAATTTTAAGAAAACCTTTTCGTCCAATGGTTATCCTAAAACACTTATAGACAGTTGCGTTAAGACATTTCTTGACAGGATTTACAACACCAAAGACAAGGTCCATACATATTCCAAGAAAATTGTTTACTTCTGCCTTCCTTTCACTGGACATGATGGTCTACATATCCGTTCACAACTTAGTAAAGTTCTTGCTTCTGCTTACTTACATATTTTCATACGTGTTGTTTCCGTCCCTGTTGTCGCCTTTCTAGTTTCTTTCCATTTGAAGACACGACTCCCATTGCCCTGAGATCACATGTTGTGTATCAGTTCACGTGTCAATGTTGTAGCGCATTGTATGTTGGCCAAACACGCCGACACATTCACACACGTGTCTCAGAGCATATGGGAATCTCGCCTTTGACAGGAAAGGAACGCTCTATCTCAACCATGTCTAGTATACACTCGTTCACAAACATGCACATGCACAAACACCTATAGTCTCCGCTTTTCATTTCAAAATCCTATCATCTTATCCGTGACAGCCTATTAATTTCTCAACTTAATCTTGTCCTTAATGCTAACATTAGATCTACCCCTCTTGAGTTATTTTAGTTGTGTAATATTAACCTTAACTATACTATAACCATGCACTCAGCGTTAATCTTTACTAATCAAATAGTTACTGATAAATTGTTTTCCTTTCTTTCCATTCATTTATTCTTTCAAACTATGTAACCGTTTTTGTAATATCAAACCATTATTTTGTAAATATATATATCATACCCTGTAAATTCATTTAGATTGCTTGAAGATGTTGTATTGTAAACAAAGAAACGTTAGCTAACAAATTTTTAGTTTTATTATGTTTGGTTTTAAAGTTATTTGCTGGGCTCTGCTCTTTATCTTTAAACTAAGATTTCCGCCTGGTGTATCAATTGCCACAGTTATAACCTGAATATTTAATTAAAATTCGCAGATAGGCTATACACTGTAAATTTCAAGGAATTAGATCAATTCCAAAAGTGTCATTCTTTCTTTCCATTTTTGGTCACAGAATAATACTTTTGGTTTAATTGATTCAACTCCTTGAAATTTACAGTGATGTACGAATGGGGAAAAATAAGTGTCTCGTTAACGTTGAGTCTAGTTGATTAGTCCAGTGCATTACAGTTATTAAGTGGTTATTCGGTTTTGTAGAATTTACTTCCTGTTAAATGGATGGCATTGGAAAGTTTACTTCACGGACGTTTCACAACAGCCAGTGATGTGTAGGTTTATATGTTCATTCTATCATTCAAATATGTTTTTTTAAATTTTTATGAGATGATGTAAAAAACAAGCCTGGTGCACAGGACGTCCCCTCTCAACTTTCTTGTGTAAATATTTTTTCAACACTTCTGAGTTGAATAGTGTCCACGAATTAACACTCCGTTTCTTCAGAAAGTAGAAATATACCACCAATGCTATGCGCCAAGCAGCCAAAATTACAGTCACATTTTGGAAGAAAAAGCATTCTTTCAATAATTGCCCGTATGGTTTTAAAGTCAGAAGAATGCAGTATACACGATAAACACCGCTAGAATGTAAATGCCAAAAACAGCATTCGAAAAACACGTTAAGGTGACTCGATACAATTTTTTTAGAATAGGAAAATTTGCGATTTATAGGTCCGTATTTTTGAACAAGTATTACTTGTTGAAAAACAAAAAGCGTCATATTTATATGTAAAACAGTATCTAAAGAGAAAATTTTCCACAAAAGTTATACGCAACTGGTGTTGCTATTGCAACAATGACGATTCAATATGGCGGATATAATTTAACGCGTAAACGACGTCGGTGATCTCCAAATTTTATTTCATAATAATATTTCTCTTAGTATACTCAAATATTTTGACAAGTATTTTAAAAAATTCTGTTGAGCCAAATTGTTTAAAATTACGTCAATGTGATTATTTATATTTTTGTTGGCTAACAACACTAATCTGTAGCTCATGATGCATGTGTATTTATTGATATAGATGGAGTTACGGCATTCTTCTTCATGAAATTGTGACTCTAGGTAAGATATACCACTGTAGCAGAAAACACTGCTGGTAACAAGCAGCTTTTGTATATTAATAATGAGTTCGTAGTTTTCGCAATATATAATGTAAAGATTAAATTTTTATAGTTAGCTGATGCTCACTCGATAATTTTTTTGAAGTTAGCACTGTCTTATGGTAACGCATCTCCTTCGTTAATCGTGCTTCTGACTATTCCATACATTTAGGAGAAGAGCCATATAAAAACATTCCTCCATATAATATTGCCATTCACGTGGGATCTGGATGTCGAATGTCGCAGCCATCGCAATGTTCTGATGAATTGTAAGTTTTCCAGTCAAGAAAAATTATATTATTTATGTTAATTTGCATTATTAACATTATTACAAAAGTTCTTACCATTCATGATGATGAGAATCAATTTTTTCTTATTGGTTTCGCAGCGTATGCCCGAACTTCCAAGTCACCTGAACCAGAGATTCGCGCTAATCGCATATGCGAAAAATATTCGTGCCCCATTCTTTAACAAAAATAATTATAACATTTGAACGAATTGCATTCACGACCAACGTCACGGCGTTACCACACATCAGTAAGCGGTTTCATCAGCGTGCATATAGTCAGTTTCATAGATATCTTATAATTTATAGACTAGATAGCGCATCTCTTTTAGTAAAATTGAAGCCAAGAATATTCCAGCGGTTACCCCCATTTGAATCATGATGGCGCCGGTCATGTTGGAGTTTCCCACTCGCTAATAAACGCTTAAAGTCCTTAAAAACAACAATATCTTTCATCATTTGAATAGTTTAAAAATGTATTTGGAATAGGTTTACCTTAATATTTAAGTTCCGTGTTTAAGAAATAGAAAACATACGAATCTTCTCATTTCATGGGAATATCCTGAGTCTGCAATGACGGCTTCAATTTTTGAATTGTACAATGATTAGATGCACTATCTAGTGTATATAAGATATTTATGGTCAGTTTACGTGGGATTTCATATCTGACAGGTGTATCACACACCAACAACAATTTTTTGCCCGAAAGCGCTGTTTGCCTAAAGCATGGGACGTTAATACTTATCCTCATCCTTGAAATGGCGCTTTGGGAACTATATGTAGCAAAAGAGCATTCGCATGCACCCAATTGGCAGTCACGTGTCCTTCTGTGTCACTCTCATGTTGCTGGACTGTCATGCATTTGCGTCGTTAATAGAAATTTTAAATTATTTCATTCCTCAAACTAGCATAGCATGCGAAACATGTCTAACACAGTAGGCTATTACACCATGCTTATAGTGTCCAGTGAGGTAAATAATTTGTTAGTTGCTTCTTTGCCGAGATACTAAAAATTAAATGCAAACTCAAATACACTGCATGCAATACACAGGGTGTATAAAAGAGGTAATCCAAATTTGACATGTTATAGGGCGTTTAGGTATATATAGGTTTCCTGTTTTCATATACTTATGTAAAGATCAGAATTTTTGCTGTCAAATGACACTCTTTCTGTAATAAAAGATGTATTAAATCTGCTTCCAATTTTCGAACAAATGCTGGTTACCTATTTGGAAAGATTTGGAACTCAAGTTCAATCCGCAAACTTTCAGGTTTGTGAAACGTTTCAACAACGAAAATTCATTGTCATACTGGAGTTGAAATTTACCAGGACTTGATGTTCATCAATCCAAACCTTATTCCATCTTTATTCAAGGTCTTAAATTTAAAAATACGAGTAATTTTAGTATACTCAACAAAGGCGCGGATAAATGCAATTTCGACCGCCCATTTTAAATCTGCATGATCGTATATTTGGCTATTTATCATGAAAATGATAGAAAAAAGGTACCATTTGATAGCTTAAAGCCTAAACATTATTCGCATATAATATATCTATAAACTTAATACCAAACGCACGATAATATATGTGCCGCCAAAGTTAGATTACCATTTTTTATACACCTGTGTACAACACCGTGAACTTTTTGAAAAACATGAAAGCATGTCGGATACCTACTGTAAAGGGATACGTCAAACTTATTTAATATTAACTTTAGCGTTTAATATTAATTTTAGCGTTTTCTATTTGATACTCATTTCTTAGTTATTGTTCGATTTTGAACATATAGGTATGAAATAATGAGAAATTGTTGGAAAGTTGAACCAAGCGAAAGACCCACATTTGAAGATTTGCACGAATCCCTTCATGGCATGCTAATGGCTGATGAGGTATTGTTTTTCATATAGCCAATCATTCATTCGTATTAAAACAGCATGTAATATGTATGAATTTGTTTTTTTGAAGTTTACAGATCGAATCTCTGAAATCATCTCGTAAATAAATTTTAGTTTTATTATATGACAATGGCGTAATTTTCTATGCAAATAAGGTTAATGAGAACACGAGAATATATTTTCCCGGCCTGAACGGTTTTGTTTCTGGTTAGGATGAAGCAAACATTCGACTTTTAGAGTGAAAAACACTAGGTCAACGCAGCAAATGAACTTTTTAATAAAGTTTTTCAAATGTTATGAACAGTTGAACAGTACAAGAACAACACTATAAAAGGACACTCAGCGAACTATAGTTGCGAGCAATTTTAGGTAATATATTTTTTAAATTAATGAAAACCAAGCATGGCAACTTAGTATCATTGCTGTTCTACTACCCGGCTATTATATAGAATTTAAAATTAATGAAACAACAAAAAATTGTTGCTCCATTTATTTATTTCTTTATCTATTATATATAGTGGCTCAATACAGTTTTCAAAACTTTAGGTGTACAATAGTTTTGACAGTTTTAAACGTCGTAGCTATATTTTTAGGTTTTACGGCGTAGATACCAGGATATTCATCTATTTTCATGTTTCTTTTTTCAATTTATGTCAATTTTGATGACACATAGTTCGTTAATATGGCAATACACGCATACGAAATTCATTCCAACATAGCCTATTGCTTTGGTCAGTTGAAAAAAAAAAGCACGGTGACCCCCAATTTCTTTTTCGGGGAATATTTGACTTACAACATAGACTAACCATAAGGAAAAATTAATATAAAAATTCTGTAATGTCATTTTCAAAAAATCGCAAAAATGCCAGTTTCTCGATAAAATCTTTTTGGCATCACAGAATTTTTTTTGGTATATTGAAAGACTTTTGCAGTACAATACAGTGTGCAAAATTTCAAAATAGATCACTGCACGAAAAAATGAGATATAGCACACTGTTTTTCAAAAATTGGCATTTCTAATGACGTCAGCAACTGACACGTAGGGGCCTACAATCGCGCGAGATGCATGGCATGAGCAAGGCGCTACGTCAGGTCATATATATAGCTTAAATGAGTCATTTCGTTAATATTCTCGGAGACATGAATGGTCACGTGGTTTTGGTCATATAGCATAACGCTTTGTTTTCGCGACTCTTGTGTGTATTAATGTAGCGAGCCACCTTAATTTATTTACTTATTTATTTCTTTATTAGAAATCGTACATCAATATCACGCAAGTGGTTAATGAAGGGTCACTGACAACGACAATGAAGCCTGCAAGACGTCTTTCTGGTGAAGATGAGTCGGTAAATGCATGAACAACACAGCATTTTTACCATAGCTATAATAGTTCACCTTTTTCACTCTAACTTCTAATATTCTCGGCAGTCAAGTGACACTATAAGTAATTAATATCCCTCGAAGACAATAAGCAAGTTTGAAAATTAACGGCATTTTAATTAGAAACACGGATTGCTGTATATTGATATAAGAAATGCATATTCGTATTACCTACACTTATAAAGAAATCGAGGTTTTGTAAATGGTGCAGTTTCTCTTGTTTTAAATGCATCATATACTCTATACCTTTTGTATGTTATTATATTAACTCTTTATAGTCCGTGTGTTGTGACCTCGAAAAGTGCCTAGAAAACAATTTTCATTAAGCATGTCTTAGAACTGAAATACTTTCACGGGAACTAACACTTTCGAACACGCTGAGTTCAAATCCGAAAAGTTCCCACTCCGTAGACCCGCAGTTTTTTCACAAAATGCTATTTTATCTTCACTAATTTCACAGCAAATTTTTTCATTGTTCAACGTCACGGATCGATGACATACACTATTATGTCACTCAAAAGGACCAATTTCTATTAACCATTCTTCCGTTTAACAAAAAACCGGTTTTGCTCGAATCATTTTGAGTTATGTAATCTTATGCGTGTTGGACGTAAACAACATATCTTGTCTACAACTTTGAGAAGGTAAAGATAATTCTTTATAATATTCTTAGTTCTGGAACTATCTCTATAAAATCAAAAGGACGTTTAGTCAAGTCTTTGGGCTATGTCTCTGGGCTGAGAAATAATTCCTTACATGGGATCAAAATATTTTATACAAAGATATAAAACGGGAATCTATATGTAATGGATCAGCATGGAAATTTCCAACACGGTTTCCAAGACGTAATTCAAGAGATAACTTATCATTGCATTTGAACTATTATATCAGTTGGTGTTATACTGTGCGATAAGCGAGTATTATTGGAAAGAGGGCTTCTATATTCGTCGAAATCATCGAATAAACAGCTCATGCACACATTTCTCCACTTCGCGGTAAGTTTACAGAGCATATTTTATACTTTGTGACTGATCTTTGTCTTTGATGTGAACATTTATTCTTATAGCTTAAGGTTATTTAAGATTGATCCTGTCGTAAGTCTTCTACCTGCAAGCATTCGACAATATTTCGTTTTAACGTTGTCTTTGCCGTTACGTTGGCTTTGCGTTACCTTTGTTTTAAATATCTTGATCGCGTTAAATTAGTTACTTTTCTGGCCAGTGACATAGCTAAAAGACTTGACATTAATGTCCTTGTGATTTTATAGAGATATCTCTAGAACTGAGGGTTTTAGAAAGCGTTATCTGTACCTTCTCAAAGTTGTAGACAAAATATGTTGTTTACGTCCAACACGCATAAGATTACATAACTCAAAATAATTCGAGCAAAACCGATCTTTTGTTAAAAGGAAGAATTGTTAATTGAAATTGGTCCTTTTGAGTGACATAATCTTGTATCGTCATCGATCCGTATCGTTGAACAATGAAAAAATTTGCTGTGAAATTAGTGAAGATAAAATAACATTTTGTGAAAAAACTGCGGGTCTACGGAGTGGGAACTTTTCGGATTTGAACTCAGCGTGTTCGAAAGTGTTAGTTCCCGTAAAAATATTTCAGTTCTAAGACATGCTTAATGAAAGTGAACGATATCGGGTCACAACACACGGACTATTACAGAAACTTTTTTTGGGACATATTTGTTGGATTTCTATTAATTTTAAGCATTGTTCATGCAACTCAGGTATATGTTTTGCATTTAATTAAATATAAATCGATAACATTGATTTATTTTGAGGTTATATAAAACAAAAAATTAATTGTGGGTGCTTTTCAATGATTATATATTCATATATATTTCGTTCATGCATGGCGAGCCGGTTTATGCATAGCTGCATATCATCGCCTACATCAAATTACAACATGCAAATCAATCGAGATGAATCAAAGTACATTGTCAAATTCAATTATGTAATAAGGTGTATATGAATAAAGTAAGTATGGTATCTAGGACAGTTCGAGCCAACCGTCCATGACATCTCCATGTTGTCATTTCCTTCAGGTACGTTGAAAGCTTCCCCTAATTCGGCCGTCAAAGCTACAATCCTGGACAAAACCATCTGCGACCCTATAAAAAAACATTCCTTTGTGGCTTTTTTTGCTAATTAGACCAGAATAATTTACTCGTTTGCCCCCCTCCACTCCTCAAAACAATGTTGAACGTTTCAACTGCATTCTACGAATGCAATCAACATTGAATGATGGGGGTAAGGGGGAGGTTTTCCAAATTTACGATAATATTACAAAATTTTGTCAATAGTTGGAAGTGTCGGAGATGTTTTGTCCAGCATTGTAGGTAGAACAGGAACCGTTTTTGTTGAAACAACTTTCGCTGCATGCAGGAACTTTGCGCGGAGCGCCATCAGTTGAGTGACTATCATGTGGAATTGTAAAAGTATTTGTTTGGGGAGTTGTAAGAGTTGAAGTTGTCTTCTAGCTTCTTCTGTACAGCGTTAGGTTGTACGATGGGCAGATAGCGCTATCCACCGGATAGTGATAAAAAATGATCTAAACTGATTTGTCCGCTGATTATTAAAACCCCAGAGTATTTACAATGAAATTATAATTATATTACTTACAAATTAAAGTTCTTAATTTATTCCGCTAATGAAACCAACACGGGGAATTTTGTGGACTTAACGCACAGGGGCGCTACTATGAGTTATGATTGAAGTGATATTGTATTTATTTTAAAAAATCTACTTGAATGAGTTGAATCCCTTGATCGTCGATTATTCATTCTTTCGAAGTTCTGTATAAAATCTTTTAAACGCCTTGGAGTCATTATACTATCACTCAACATGACGTTTCACAAAGTACATGTAATCGCCAACAAGTAAGGAACGCGGGCGCGAGGGAATTGTGCTACAAGACGTTCTAGTTGTACAAGGGAAGATTTAAAAGCGAGAAACAAGCAAAAAAACAAAAGCATTTAACGGTATTCTTCAACTGTGTACTTCGACAGCCTTCTATATTTTGGGTGAGTTGAATCAGTCAACCTTCTCGTCGAATTTCCCCCTGAAATTGCAGATGAAACAAATATGAGTTAATTAAATCAATCAAAGCTTTGGTGTTTTTGGGAGAAATATTAAGAAAATTAAGCGAATAAGCGAGAACGAAGCGCCACGGGAAGAGAATAATTGAATAAATTTTTAGGACGCGTTTCAAACAACACGTCAACAGCTATAAGTCTATAATAACTCAACAAAAACAACTTACAAACGTCTACAAAACAGCTAATTTTGATACTAACCTGTTTCTCTGCATGGCATAAGCATTTCATTTCGAAAAGTTCCATGAAAGCGAAGTTCTGGACCAACTTTTATTTGTACTTTGTAAATCTTCGAGTCAAAATGACACTCGAAGCCGCGAGCAGAAATTTTCAAATTTGCCAACATTTGCATAACCACACCTTTGCTTCCTATTGATCAGATTTTCACGAGCTCTGATTGGTTTAGCTTGCAGAAGCTTAAATTTGTGATGATTTGTTACAGCTAAAAGCATCTATTGCTCTAAACTCTCTTGGGAATTGAATACAGTCGCTAGGAATGATTAATTAGCTGGTTTCAAACTATAAATTCATAGTCAATTAAAATTAGTTGTTTCGTATTGAAGCTAAAGCCGGTTTCTCACTAGCCGCAATTTGCACGCGAGGCGCCGGGAATTTTTCTTCATCTTGTGATTTCGTGGTGTGGAACTAATTAGAAATGACAAAGATAAACTTTGCTTGGCGCGCAAAATTGCGCCTAGTGAAAAACTGGCTTAATGAACTTTAAATGAAAGCTCACAATATGCAATATAACATACCTACAGTATATATTTCGGAAATTCATTGCTGTACAGTTAGTAAAAGACCGGCATGAATTCGAAGCTGGGTGAATAAAGAATTTACGATCTACGACGTGGAAAACTCGACGATACGTCTCAATTTCAGCTAAAAATGAACGCTAAGTAGGCTACTTTGATTACTGTAATAAATGCTTAAAGCCTTTTAAAATAAAGCTAAGTTCAAACAGCTAAGTTCGTGAGAAACGATGTGGTGTTTGCTATAATAATAAGAATAATATTCTTTGTGTTTTCTAATTAGTTCCACCCGAGAAATCACAGACAAAAAAAAAGTCCGCTCCGTGCGGAAAAATTCCGCCTAGTGTGAAACCGGCTTAAGGCTGACTTTATGTAATACATCTAACGTCGCATAAAGCTTTTAAATTGGCGTTGCTGCAAAACGTAATAATAGAGTGTTTACGATCTACGACGCGGCAGGCTCAACGACGCGCTTTCGAAACAAAGGAATTTGTCATGCAAGACAAAAAAAACCTGTGAATAATTCGTGGTCCCAGGGGTATTTGCCACAACGGCATTGTCATTCCCAACACAACGTTAAATTCAGTTAAACTGAAATATAAGCAGCTGTAACCTCTCTAATGTCAACACTGAGGTGCTCGTGTGTGTGTAGAGTCGCCCTGGTAAAGACAATTACACTACGCCGGAGCGAAATATTATATTTGTGGTAATACCATAGTTGCCCGGGTTTCTTTTGTTTCAACAGGGACGTTTAATCACGTATCGCCCGCTGTAGCGGGCGATTAGTTCTAATCGCCCGCTAGAGCGGGCGATTAGAACTAATCGCCCGTTACCAAGGGTCACACCTTTGTCTCCCTGACGGCTACGCATTAGGCAAGTGCCTCACGCACATAATCGTGCAAGGAACAGCAACAGTTAGCTCAGAGCCGTCAATAGTCTATCATCCGATCCCTGAGTTGCCGCATCATTTAAATTACGCACGTGCAGTCTCCAAATTTATACTAATATATTTAGCGTGTTTGTTGTGGTACGTTAAATGATAGATTACGCATGCGTAACCGATTAAAGCGTAAAAAGTGCGCATGTGCAACAAGCTTTTACATCCCACAAGCAATGAA